GGTAGGATTGTTTTGCTTTTCACAGTGGGATCAAGGTACAGAAAATAGGTTAAAATTAGTAGATAATATTTTGTTATTAATGGTAATCTTTATTTCTACCTATTATTTAGGGTTATGTTCATCAACCTAAGTATTGCCTTCCTTTTATGCAACCTGGACGATTAGTTGAGGTAAGGAGTGTTTTTTTTTTTAATCAACAATTATTAACTTGGAAAAAGACACAGGTTTATTAAAAAAGAATTTCTTCTAACAACGTTGACAACGAAACTGAAGCCACTGTTTGTTACTTCCCTTACAATTTTAAGTGATCTGGGTTACTTTTCACCACCATTTCCACTTTGAATACATGTATTTTGTTGTTCTTCTTTGTTTTACTGCTTTCAGTAACTTGATCAAATATGTATTTTGTAGGTGAAGAATAATGACATTTACTTTGGATGGGGTGTGGTTCTCAATTTCCAGAAGAAGGCCAATCAAAAGGTATTTAATGGATTATATAATATCATTGAAGTATCTAATCCTCTAGAGAATATTGTGTAGTGAATTGTTTAAACTTGGGAATAACAGTTAATAATTTAGTCTCATCGCAATCCTGAGAAGGATTGTTGTCAATAATAGTGAGTGATGCTTTAACAATTATGGTAGAACTCCTCATCAGAGAAAGTGACTTGGTTTTTTCCAAGGTATTTGTTCCTATTTATGTTAATAAAGTCTGCTCTTGAGACAAGTGGACTTCTCTGCCATACACTGTAGCTTCTCTTGTGTTTGCATAGCACAAAGTTACTTCAGTTGATTGTTACATGTACTTCAGTCTCCTCCAGGATGGGAAGCCAGTCCATCACAGGGTTACCCCACAGCATTTGGTCAGATTTCCCTTTCAGTTTTCTACAGTAAATGGTTTAAACCTGTGGGTAACATGTGATAGTGTAGTCTGATTGTCTGGGTGAGTGTAGTCCAGAGATGGACTTTTGTTGGTAGTTTTGACAACCGGAATGGAAGTCATCAATCAGGTTGTTGAGAGCTCAGTCACCACTACCAGCAACAGTCCTTCTTAGGACCACACTTACTGGATGATCAGGCTACACTATTACATTTTTCTGCTACCCATTTATCCCCATGGGCAATGGGTTGGTGGTGAAGTGTTTTTCCTATGGACACAATACAAAGGCTGAAGCAGGGCTTATCATCTGCACCTCTCAACCAGAAGATAAAAAAGCCAACCATAAGATTACTGGACCTCCCACAGTCTAACCTTATCATGACAATGATCAGAAGTTTTACTAGAAATAATATTGTTGTTTAAATCCCTTCCTCAGAGTGGTCCAACACATGGGGAGACTTTGTATGTGTTAGAGGTGTTACTTAATTGTTCCAGTCAGCCGTTGAAGTCAGCAGATGGTGAGACACCTCAGCCATGCGGGCCTGATGAAAAAGGAGAAATGCAGGTAAATCAGTGATTCAGGATTTACTGGGTTAATTCAAATGTTTTCCAAAAAAATATGGCTGCATTTGTTAGAAGTACGACATTTTTTTTTCCCTCAGGTTGTGCCCATTTTGTTACAATTGGTGAAAGCAATAAGCAGTGTCAGGTTGTATATTCCTAAGGATTTGAGGTCACTGGACAGTAGACAGAGTGTTGGAAAATCAGTCAAGGTTGGTACTTGATGAATGTTACTTCAAAGTATCAGGTAACTTACACAGTAGGTTAAAAATTCAAGTTGCTTCACTCAAAGGCTCTAAAGCACTAAGGAAGTAATTAAACCTTTAAACCCTAAGAGTGACTAGCATCTAATTTCTCCTTACAATAAAACTGCTGAATCATTCATTAAGATTGTGAGAATAAAGGAAAGGATCACCAACTTAAGAATCTTTGATTGTGAAACAAATTCTCCTTGTCAGTAACAAAGGAAACATATGGCGAAAAGTATGAAGAATATGGATGCTGATGTTAGGATGTAAAGGGTCAAGGAAAGGAGTCTTAGCAATTAACAGCAAACAAATTTTTACAATGGTCTTCTTTCAATAGGAGGTACAACGTCGATTTCCAGATGGCCTACCAATGCTGGATCCTATGGAAGACATGGGAATCAAAGATGATGGATTAAAGTCTGTTATAAGGGTGAGTGCAATCAAAGCCTCTGTTGTTAGTTTAATAAATTTTATTTAAAACAATCAAAATTTTTTCTGATTTTGTAAAAGCTAAATACACTATGCCTGGTCTGCTCTGATAAAGGGGTATCCTAGATTGGATAATGATATCCAAGCAAAAATGTTAATTTTCAATTTGGAGGTTGTAAGTAAGAAGTTTAAAAAATTTGTTTGATTTTTCTTCTTCTTAGTACAGCTATTTGCACATGTTTTGAAACTTAGACTGTTCACAAGTCTTGGATTTACTCTGATCATGGAGAGGAACATGTAATGTAGGAGACAAAAAAAATTGAGGGTCCAAAGTGGGGCCCAATAGCCAGCCCCTTTTCATGCCAGGAGCCTGTGAACAGAGACAACTCTTAAGTGAAAAGCAGAAATCAAGCCTAAGAAATGGTGATAGTGTAGCATACCCTCTCTACTTAAGTGCATTTTGTTCTCAACATTTTCTTTCATAATTTTTAGGAAGGAAAAGAGTAAGCATTGCTATAGGTAATACTAATAAAATGATAAATCTTTCTGTCTTTTCAAACAGAAAATAGAGAGTTTAGAGCATAGAATGTACACTCATCCAATGCATAAAGATCCTGATCTGAAATCCCTGTACAATTTATGTGAGAAGAAAGCTCAGGTAAAATATTGTCATGTGTATGAACTCATCATTAATGTGAAAATCAAAAAAACTGTTAGCACCACAAAATATTTAATTAAATAATGTATTCAAGATGTTTAGATGTACATTTATTAACCCTTTCACTCCCAAGATCTTGTGAGTAATTCTCCTTACTTTCTGCCAAACAATTCTTATGAGAATAGTTCAGAGAATTTGGTATTGGATCATCTGGTAACCCTCTAAGTGACACTGTTCTTTATTCTCATCACTTGTCTGCTCGATATTGTATGGATATTGTAAAGGAGAAATTCTGTCTTGGTCACTCATGGGAGTTTAGGGGTTAAAAGCCCAGAAAATATTATAGCAATCAAGCACTGTGGATGATCTCAGCCACTTGTTTGTATTTTAAAGGGTACTTTTATTTAAAGGAGGGCTATTAACAATTGTCTTGTTGGAAAGTTTGTAACTTTTGGTAAAATTAGTGAAAAAGGGTGCTGTTATAAGAAAATGTATGAAAACTAGTGAGGAGAATTTATATGTTATGTAGAGGGCTTGATGGGTTAATCATTATTTTATAGAGACAGACTTGTCATGGCAAAGCCACTTTAATTTTCTGTTTGCCTTATGTAGATTATCAGTGAAATTAAAACAGTCAAGAAGGAATTGAGGAGAACAAAGACAGTTCTGCAAATGGATGAACTCAAGAGTAGGAAACGAGTTTTGCGAAGGTACCACTATGCACTTCTAAGTGAAATAAAATATGTAAAACTAGTTACCGTCTTCTAGTTTTAATTTGTACCCAAATATTGACATGGAAACAAGTGAATCTCCAGTTTCTTGTATACATGCATTAGCTGTAGCCGTTGCCGTTTTTTTCTGTTCTTGCTTGGTTGGTTTTCATGCTTTTTTCTTATGATGGTGGGAGATATACAACTTGTGTGATCTCTGAGCCAAGAGGTTATGTTCTTGAGTAGCATACATTACCCTCACGGT